GAGAGACAGTGAGACAGAGAGACAGACAGACAGACAGACAGAGAGACAGAGAGACAGAGAGACAGAGAGACAGAGAGACCGACCGACCGACCGACAAACAAACAATACAACACCATGCCTTTTGTCGGACACATGAAACATATGTGGCGATAGTGTAGCTTATACATGCACTTCATGTTCATGCATTATCATACACATGCTTGCATGCATGCGTGTAGTCACCTCTACACACAGTCACACTCACAACCATGCCTGCTGTAGGTTTCGCTGTTATCAGGGAATGCTTTGCAAGCCAGGTGCCTCCTACCGGGCGGGCAGCATCAGGGCATGCGTGTCTTTGCTGGCGCGAGTGGAGGATCTTTTCAAGCAGAGTATTCAATACTGGGCATCGACGGGGGGGCGAAGCACAGTAAAATGAATAATGTCACGCTTCAAAGAGGTCTATAGACTCCCTGGTATCAATCCTGAGATACCCTGCCTGCCTGAACAATGCAAAGGCAAGTATAGGAGCCCACATAATTATTCATGCGATTCCTCAGGGTTCCCTATCGTACTTATACTATAAGATACTCATCCACTTATTAATGCTCCTACATCAAAGTTTTTTAGAGTTGAGGATCGCTTGGCAGCTCTTGTCTATTACTCCAACCGGTTGCTACTTATTAGCAGTGAAAGGGCCCTCTCGTGTCGAGTGCCGTGATAACCAAGAGCTTTAGGGCTTTAGGTTTAGGGCCCTCCAGGTCGTAGTCTGGCTAGACTTGAGTCCAGTAGCATGAAAAGGGTGCGGGGCCCCGAGGACTCGATGGAAGATGCACACCTCATGGGGCAAGTTCAGGGCAAAAAGTAGCAAACGCGCTTTAGGAGTTCAGGTAGAGCCCATCAGAACAGGCAGCTGGTCCAGGTTGGGGGACTGAGAGCCGGATGTTGGAACAGGTACAGAATACATGGCTTAGGGTTTAGGATTTAAAATTTAGGTTTTAGGGTGTAGGGTTCAAGTACTCATCATACAAGGTTTTCAATGTATGAAACACGCCGGTAGGATTGCGTTCCTTTCGTGAAGAGACAATGGCGCATGTTTCGGTTTGGTATGGAAGCTTAAACAGTTCCCTTTCGTTGTGATAACTTTACAAGGCTACACCCAGGACATCCTGGAATACTGCTCTAACCTATAAGGCTCCTACTATACTAAACCCAGTACCCCTTATAGTAACCTTTCTTCCAGAAAGAAAGCCTATTAAAGCGCCTATTAAGATTCTTGCGGCTCCTACATGTGTTCTTTCGCCTTTTGGCTCAGGACGATTTCGTGTGTGCGTGTTTCTGTTGTGAGTGTGGCGCGGGAAGATCCGGGCAATCGGACCCGGATTCTCCCCAGCCCTGTAGGCCACCCTGTCTTGGGTCCTGGATGGAGATGCCCGGGGGATGCCGTGCTTTCCGACACCTCCCTTTCCCTTGCAATGGCCTTTGGAAGGTGGGGTCAGGGACTGCCTTTCTAAACCGCTTGAAAATCTTGTTTGAGTAGATCGTTCAGAGTGAGACATTCCAGAGCCGGGGTAGACCTCAAAGACAAAGCCTTAACCCTGGGACAACCAAACCTCCGCCAAACCCTCAACCCTTAAGCCCTCATGCCCGCAGCTCTCAAACCCCAAAGCCCTAAACCCTAAAGGGAAAAACCCAAACCCCTACACCCCTAACCCGGAATCGAAGCAGCTCGGACCAAAATTCTCTCTTCGCTTCGCTGATTTCGAGACTGAGGCCTGCGAGTGCATGGCAGGAAGTGCTGTCTGAATACCGGGAGGTGCAGCGCAGCATCATCAGACACTAGGTAGGCCCTTGAGGCGTGCTTTCTGTCTTAACTTTCCTCTTTGACTATGTTCTTGCAATCCGGTTTATTTCCTTCAAACCCTTTCAACCCCGTGAATATTGTTCTGGTAGGCTGACTTTATCCGGGGCCAGCCTAGGATACAACCTTGCAATCAAAGCCTCCGGTAAAGCGTTGCGATGGGCATACTCACTGGAGCTGCTAACAGCGTTGGCAAGGCAGCGTCTACAAGAGGACACCATTTTGTGTAGCACCACTATCAGTGCATGCGGGCAGGCTGCGCAATGGCAAGGTGCACTTGCAGTGCCTGGGTTTTCGTTACGGTGTTGAGTTTCTCTTATAATGCCAACTTGCACTGCGTTCGTTACAACCTCAGAAAGCCCTCGGTTAACAAAAACACCACGAGACCCGAAAAAATAGGTTCTGACCAACATGGACGGCGACTCCGTGGTGGTGGACGTGATTACCATCGGATCTGCTGCAGGAGCCTGCGACAAGGCAGGATAATCCTTGTCAGGGTTTTAGGTTTAGGGTAGGAGGTCCCAGGAGCCCTAAACCCTACCTTAAGAACCCAAAACCCACCTTTTTTGTAAGAGCAACGTACAAGGAACCCCAGCACTAGTTGTCCTTAATCCGGCTTCCAACTTTCTGGGCTTCACTGCTAGCCTAAGCCCGGATTAAGATACCTTCCTTTACCGAAGCCCTAGATAACCCCAAACCCTAAACCCTAAACCCTAAACCTTAACCCGTAAACCCTAAATCCCAAACCTTCAACCCTAAACCCTAAATCCTAAACCCTAAGCCCTAAACCCTAAACCCAACCCCTAAACCCTAAGTTTCCTTTACGGGGACACGACGCTGAGGCTGCCTGCTGGCAGCCCGCGATCTCCTTGCTGGCCGATCTCGAGGGAAGGATCGCACTTAGAGCGGGTTGGGGGTTGGGCTTAGGGTTTAGGGTTTAGGGTCTAGGGTTTAGGCCGGTTTCGGTGTTTTGGCTTCTAGGGCTATACGGAATCAGGGAGGTTCAGTGTTCGGGGTTGAGGGTTTAGAGCTATAAGGCTTCTGGGTCTAGTGTTTTTGTTCCTATCGTAAAATACGCGCATTGGAGCTGGTTCTCTACACTCGCAGCTCTTCGGGCACCGCCAGATATCCGAATGTGCGTGGGCCTACTCCTTTCTTTGCTGTTGCTGATCCGAGGGCCCCAGCCAGTGGTTGCCAATATTTCTCAAAGCTTTGTAGTCTTGCTCCGTGCTGTTAGTAGCTGGTCCGGCGAAATATTTTAGGAATAATATGAAGAGTAATAACAATAAACATCATAATGGCAATAACAACAAGAAGAAGAACAGTTATGAGAATAGTGATTATAAAGATATTTATAGGCATAATGTGACAACAATAATTGCCGAACTCCCGAAAGATTGAGATCTGATGGTCCAGGAGACTGCAGGGAAGTCTCATTCTCTTGAACTCTGTCATCAGCGCCTGCCAGAAAGGAAGTGGCTGGACCATGGTGGATGCTCTGATCTCGAAGGCGTTATTGGGCTTTAGGGTTCACGGGTGGATGGCACACGGGGAGGGAAGCATGAAGCGTAAATGGGTTCTTCAGGACTTGTGACTAGATTCTACTAGATGCTCATGGCTTCCGAACTTCCGGGTGTGAGGTTGTGGAGCTTGCGTCCGTAGCTTTGTCTTCAGTATGCCTGCGCAGAGCTTATATAAAACGCCTGAGGGCTGAGGGCACGGGAAGAATGCCTGCGTTGGTGTTGAACCTTGCCCTCGGGGAGCAACGGACCGAGTGGGCGGGAGGATAAGTCAGGTACGCTTACAGGCGCCCTTATTACGTGCGCGTTTTTGTACGCGAAAAATGTCTTGCAGGCCCTATTGCGTGTAACAAGACCATCAAAGGCAGTCCAAAACCCTAAAGCCTGAAATACTAAACCCTAAACCCAAAGCCTCTGCACGAAAAGCCGCAAAGTATAAGTCGCTTACACCTTAGAAGCTAGGTCCCCCGGAACCCTAAACCCTAAACCCTAAACCCTAAACCCCTAAACCCTAAACCCTAAACCCTAAACCCCTAAACCCCTAAACCCCTAAACCCTAAACCCCCCGGAACCCTAGAGCCCCTCAGCAGACACTGAACGCCTCAGAAACAGCGAAACTCCCCACCAGGTCTCGGACATGCACCTACAACCTGACCTGATACCAGGTAGGCCTTGGGGAGATTTTATGTTTTTTTTGTTTTTTTTTTTGTGGTTTTCCCTCCTTGGGCCTATTTTTCCCCTCCTTGGGCCCAAGAGGATCTTGGTTTTCGAACCTTTTTTTCACAGTCTTTAGGGGGGCCAACCTAGGATAACATACAACTCCGCGCTGAGGGCCTTGGCAGAAGCTCCGGCTTGAAAGGATTAGGGCTTGTAGGGTTTAGGGGTTTAGGATAGGGTTTGGGGGTTTAGGGTTT